TTTAAAAAATCATATCTCCAAATAGAATCACGAGATCACGTGGTCTCACGAGTTTTGCTGTTAATGGGAAATTGCACTGGTCAACTGTCAAAAATGTTCTTTTCAAGTTCCATTTCCTAAAAATTAATTCATTTAAAAAAAATTAATGAACACCACCCTCAATATTCTACATTAAATAAAGTAAGCCTCTAAAGTCTGTCAAATATAAGCCAATTCTAACAGGAGTATATAGGGTACAGAGCTTAACTGAAACTGCTTTGGTCTAGGTATTTGAAGGCTAACCTGGATGGATGTCATGTGGCTGCTTTTTAGATATCAGCAATTTGTAAAATGCAGCCTTAATTTAGAGAAAGGCAGTCACCAAGTCAAGTGAAGTCATTATTCATTTAATTTTGGGCCAGATGTTGAGGTCAGGTGGAGCAGACAGCAGACTGTACGGTGTAGCAGCCACATTCATTCAATGATATGTTTTTGAGCTGGCAATGATTCTTACAATGGGCTGGATTTTGTAACCTAGTCTGAAAATAGCATTAAGATCTGATTACGTAGAAGATATGAAATGATTTACAAACCAAACAGAAGGCATTTTGGACTCAGGCGTTCACTTGTCTATAATAAACCTATAGAAAAAAGGAGACAAACACTTTATGGATCTTAAATTCTAAGGCCTTTTTAAAAAGAATCTTTTTAAAACTGTGTTTAGATCCAGACAACATCTGTTGAAAGCTTAACAGGTCAAATAACTCCATCCTCACACACAAGAGAAACACAAAAGCATTTAATCTTATACAAACCTAAGGCATGTGAACACGCAAAGACACCAAATAAATCAGACATCAAGCATCTTTCAGTGGCTTTTATTCACTTAAGCTACTTTCCAACGAGAAGTCTGACCTTAGTTAAGTGGGACACATAAAACCAAGAACTGACTGGAAATCTACTTTGAAGTAAAAGGCTCAAATTAACAGTGTTCTCCACGTGACAATACTACAGCTTCCACTGCACTGTGATGCTTTTATCCATGTCAAACAAAGGAAGTTAAGATAAGCTTGCTCTGTTTTTAAAATCATTTTAAGTGCTACAATGTACAGTAGTAGTCATGTTTGATTTTCCGTAATGCAAGAGAATCATCGCTCTATTACCCCTCAGGAAAACTTAAGAAGCTTGCTGGCTAATTATTTGCACTACTGATGTATAGTTTAAGCATTAGTTCGAGGGGATTTTGCAAGATGACTGGAGTCAACAGCAAAGGCTGGACTGCTTCAAGAATATTTAAATGTCTGAACTGTGATGCAATAAGCGCAGAAAGATTGTCACTATTGAAATATGAACAGGCATTAGGGATTAGAGCAGAATAACCGAATAAAAACATTTGTTTGTGTCTGCATACAGAAATGGTGGACGGTAAGGAAACGCCAACCCTCAGCTAAACAGTGCATAGATATTGCTGGTTTCTTTAAAAGGAAAGTGGACATGCGAATATTGAAAGCGTACCTTTCGAATCCCCCCTCCCCAAAAAAAGGCCCCGGGATACTTTTAGGAAATAAATCATTAGGTGTAAGAAATTACTTAATGCCGTTAATTCCACATAGTGATTCAGCTATTCACGTCTCAATTACCACATATGAAGACAATTTGATGTAAAATTAGGGATATATTGTGCAACTTTTAACAGAATACTGAATGCAAATCCACCAAAGAAAAAGAATAAAAGAAGGGTCTTGGAGTCATTGAGTCAATTCCAACTAATCCTGGTGTATGTCATAAACTTTTAAACATCTTGCTGCTGTCGACAAATTTTATAAAGTAAATTTGTAATTTAATGACATTATTGTGTGATAAAGGATTGTAAAACTATGTCATGTTTGCAGCTGTTACTGTCCGCCACCTCTATCAAAAGGTAACGTTTCAAAGGGATTCCACGATTACCTGCAGCTCAAAAACAGTTGTGAGGTGGCTTTATTTTCAAAAAATGATTGCGTATTACAAAAAAAATAACGAAAATTTCGCATCACTTGTAAAAAAAATATAAAAATATTCTTTTCAGTGGTGAGGATCAAATGAACACAAAACATGGCCCAACAATAATTCAAGTGCATCACGTCGCCAGGGCAGAAATGATTCCATACAGAAACTACGACAGTAATTAAAAGAAACAAAACCAATACATAAAAGCCCATTCTGCTGTGTCGGCTGAAAAAGTGGAAGATGTGTGTGTCACCAGCAGTTTCAGTTCGAACAAAAGTGAAGCCAAACAGCTTGTTGGTGCCCAACATTTCTAAAAAACACACAGCGGTGCATTAAACTTTAGGCTACCGTGGCTGGCCAGCAAAGTTGTGGTCACATCTTCCATCTTTAAAGTGGTTCACGTATACGAGACTTCCCACAATTACAAAGAATCGGTTACAACTAAGGCATACTTTGTACTGGCTGTTTATACATGTTTCAAGTGTGAGTGCTTATATCATTTTTCCTTTTATCGTACTTCAGCATGCTCAGCAACCTTTACGTGTGTGTTTTGTTACGGTGCCATGACTGTATGAAGACACTGGAAGACATCAATAATGATCTGAGCCTTACGAAGAATCACATTTATCAGTCAGAAATAATTCATTATGAGCAGCTAAATGACAGAATACATAAGCTGTCCTGTTGGTTTCTGTTAATTATTGTCTTACGTCACTATTATTTATGTTATAATTTATAGTTGTCTACATACAATGGTTAATTTAAAGCCATCCAGCTGTAATTACCAAATTAACTTCCCCCTCAGTTAGACTTTTACACTATAGAACCGCTAGCTAGCTAGCTAACACAGAATATTCCGTTAATCCTACAACTAAACCTCCGAATGATTTCCAGATTCATCCCGCTCTCCGGCCGTTTCAGGTATCAGCGGGTACAGATTCACTCCTTTTCCTTTTTCCCTTGAACGTGTGAATGCCAAAAAATCTCAGAACGAACTCATAATGAAAGTTTTTCCCCAAGTAGGTTGTTCCCTTCTCGAACGAAATTGTGCCACTTCTCCATCCCTCCCTATATTCCAGTCTGGTGCCACTCCGACCAGCGGAACGTCTGCATTTTATCCCAAACATAGAAGCATCGTTGGAACATGAAGCTCTTATTAAAAAGGTACATTTTGTGATGGTATGCAATGCAGATTTGGGGATGTCATAATCCTTTCAGAATATTCAAAACCTTTTACAATGTTTGAGCCTTTATGGTAGAACAACTGTGGACTAAAGCAGCTGTTCCACTCTCAGGAGTGGCACCACATTGCACATTCTCTCTTTGGTAAGCTAATATGAACTGAGATGGGGTTTTTCTTCGACTGGTTTTCTGTCCACATTTGAATTTCAGGGCGTCAGAGAGCTAGTTTGCTATGTGTACGGACGGACAAATGAAATCTGGGATGCTGAGGGGGGCCTCCTTTCACAGCTTCCTGTTCTACTCGATTCATTGCACTTGCTGAATAGCTGCACACGTTTTAGCAGTGGTAATGTTTTGCAGACTGTTCACGACACTGATTTCTAACCCAGATCCCCGACTCGCTGCTCACTTATCTGAATCTGTCGGACTGATCTGCAGTGTCTCAGGGTCGTGGGAAAAACAAGCCTCTCTCTAGTACTAAACAGTGATTAGCCCACATACAGTTTCACATCAACGCCGTAAATAGGATGAGATCATTTTCTTTCTGTTATTTAACTGTCCGACTTTTGTGTCAGAAGCTGCTGTTTCACTTTTGAAGAGTGGCGCTCCGACCACACTAGAAGTGGCGAATCTGCTCCGGTTGTAGAAAAAACAATTCCACTTTCAGGAGGAATCCCAACCTGGGAAGGCCCGGCTACTTTATTATTTGGCTTCAGTTGCATTAACATGTCGTGACGGCGTTAAATAGTAATCGCGTTATCTTTACTAGGTCGAATTTCTCTGAGCGGCAAAATTGCCTGGAACGTTCCGAAACCCAGAGTTAGAAACCATCGCCCTGTGGGTTCCACTCTGAGAGGAAGACGGGCAGAGGGGGGGGGCTCTCTCTTCTGTTCAGAGTCTCAGCTCATTGGCCACTTTGGAGGCGATATTTTTAAAAGCTATAGACGTGCCGGAGATCCGCTTGAAACGCACGCCGTTGAGCGAGAGGCGGGGCAGTTTGCACACCTCCATCTCCCACTGGACCAGGCTCTCCTGGCGGGCGTCGCCGTGCACGCAGAACAGCATGTAGCGCTCCCGCTGCTCGTAGTCACAGTTGTTGGCGTCCAGGACCCTCCGGATCTCCCTCATCATGTCCCCCGGCTCCATGGACGACGTGGTCTTCATGCTCCACGTGAAGCGCAGCGAGCGGGGCTTGGACTCCCTGCCCTCCTCTTTGGGCTCCCCGGAGAAACTCCTGCAGGACGGAGATCACAGAATCACAGGAATTACAACAAAAAAAAATATGCCACTGACCAGCGATGAGGTCTGGTTTGTTGTGGTTTACCCAGGTTTTTAACGTCTGATAAGAAGTAGCCATTTAACACCAAGCTGGTACATTTTATCTACAAGAACTTCTGTGGGAGCCATTTTGCACTTTTACTTTGAGTAGTGGTAATTCTGGTTTGTTTGTTTATTATGAATTTGTTTACATTAGTGATAGTTTCAGATTTTGGTAATATTCTTTTTGTAATTCGTCTAGTTAATTGTTTTGCTTTATGTTTTGGTAAATTTACTAATTGTAGTACTTGGTTTTAGACACCTGGGGGTAGTGGTGCGCACAGGTAACGGTGGATTTAAGTAAGAAATGGCACACACCTGTATGCACCTGGGTAGTGGGCAATTTTTTTTTTTTACCAGTGCAAGAGGTTTGCTCACGTGAAATAGCAATAAACTGCCTAAAGGACAATTCTGCGTGGAAACATCTTTTGCCTGCGTACGATACCTGCCCAGGGTGCCAGAAGTTGCCGTTTGTTTTATTTTAAGTTTGATTTAATTTTCGTTAAAAGTTTGTTTGACAAACGGCTACTACAATTTCTTTTTCTTGTTTTACTTGTTTTGTGAATGTAAGAAGAGCCCAAGTGCCACATTTCTGTTTCTATCTAGTTTAGTCACAAACAGTTTGAAAGGTCAAGGGTTTCCTGTTCTTGTTACCGTGCAGGGGGTCATACGAGTACGGGACATTTCACATAAGAGTTATGTTTCATCCAATTTTGAGGAGCAGTGGATAGTTTTTGTTCTCTCATTTGATTTGAAAAAAGACACGGTAATAAACCTTTTTTTTTTTTTTAGCATTTTCTAAATACATCATATTTCTCTTTTTTTCTTGTGTTGTAATAAAACCAGTATTGATTATTTTTCCTTTACTGGAGTATTTTTACAAACTGTTTTTGTGTCTGTTTGTGAGGGAGGAAAAGCTTTTTTCTTTTTGTGGGTGGATGCTAATAAGATTACCGTAATTAATAAATTCCCCTTTTCATTTCCAAATAATATCAGAACAATGGGATACTTTTTAGTCCCGTCTTCAGTGGGACTCCCCCATCATGCGCTGTAGGTAGAAAAACAATAAGAAAAACTGCTACAGTCCAGTGGAGAGTACCATCCAATTGGTTCACTCATGTGTGGAAGCTTCATTCGCTCTGTTGTGCCATCAAGTGGACAGTACCGGTAAATGTAAACAGTACAGTGTGATAATAATGAGACTCCGGCTTTGGTGTCTGAAGCATTGAATAAATCAATCAATGATCTTTGTGATGCTGCCATCCAGGGTGTACCCAGCCTCTCCCCTTTGGCTACTGGGATAGGGTCCAGTCCCCCCCCCCCGACCCCATTAGGGAATAAGAGGTTATGATAATGGACGGATGGATGTTTTTGATGCTTACACATCAATTCTAAACTTTTATAGTGTGTCTGTCTTTATGATACAATGACAGGGAAGCTTGAATAGATTGCTAAAATATTCGTAATTAAGTCCCAAGTCCACAAAACGTGAGGGGTGGGGATCCATTGCATTTTGCTGGCCATTATATTTCAAATAGACCGCCAAACCGCGAACCACTTCCTGATTCAGTCAGGTGGTACAACAGGCTCGTGAGATTTCAAACGTCACCACATACGTCATCAACACAAGCCTCAATACGGAGGGACACATCCCTACCCTGGACGGTCCGCCAGTCCATCGCAGGGCCACACAGAGACACACAACCGCCCACACTCACATTCACTCCTAAGGGCAATTTGGAATGTCCAATCAACCGAACATGCAGGTTTTTGGACGGTGGGAGGAAGCCGGAGAACCCGGAGAGAACCAATAGACACAGGGAGAACATGCAAACTCCCCACACATAAAAGTCCTGGTTAGCAGTTGGTCTTCTGCAGTGTCCTAAAATAATCTTCTTTATTTGTATAATCGACTACTTTACTTTGAATTGTACATTTGAGTTTGTATTCTCTGAACCACGTACAATACTAAAATAATTTTGGCTAACTCCTGGAAAATAGAAAAACCGTTGTTATTGTTGTATTTGTTGTATTTGTTGTTTGTTCTCAAGGTGGTTGGGGTGAGGGATATTGTTTTCTTGTTTTCTTTTTCTCATATATTTTGTACGTAATAAGTGCTGCTCTAAAATATACTATAAAAAACCTGGCATGCAAGGAAAGAAGCTGAATATTGGACATTAACTTAACTACCCTGGACTTTCCTCTGATGTGGGAGCACACTTGTGCCTTGTGTATTGTTGGAAACACTGTTGAAAAAACCAATAAAGATAAGGTTGGAGAAAAAGTCCTGGTTCCCCTGGGGACTATAACCCAGAACCCTGTGTGCAGAAAGGTCCTGGTTTTCCTGGATTCTCAGGGTTGTCAGACGGAGCTCGACCGATTCTGACCTGCGGGAGAACTTGGAGGTGAGCTTGCCGATGAGGGAGGTGGAGTTGCCGCGGTAGGGCGAGGCGGCGGCGGCGGCGGCGTGCTGCGACAGGCTGGGCGAGGCGGGGGGGCCGTTGTAGGTGGCCGTCCGGCGGTCCCGGATTTGGCCCCCGTGGAAGGTGGAGCGGCTGGAGGAGCCCCGGGGGAAGCGGGCCCGGTCCGGCGTGGTGGAGCTGGTGCTGCTGGCCACGCTGAAGGCCGAGGGCGACGACGGGTCCTGGCGGGGGGAGCTTTGGGGGGCGGGAGGAGGGCACGCTGTCACCACGGTGACGGGAAACCAACCGGCCGGGTAGCCGTTTCGACGGGCCGAAACGGAACCTCTCACCTCTGATACTCAACGTTGTCGTCGATGGGGGGCAGGCTGGACTTCATGGGGTGTCCCGAAGCCGACATGGACTTCACGTGACGAGGGCGGGCCGAGGAGACGGTTGCCCCGGGCGACGGGGATGGGGATGCAGATGGTACCTCAGGCAAACTGGAACCCATTTAAGCACATCAGCTATTTGCTATTTGGAGAAAAGCAGCATGTTATCCATCAAAAATGCGTCTCACCTGTTGTCCTTTCCATTGGGAATCCCACCTGAGTGCCTCTCGGCGCTGTTCCTCTCATAAACATACGTGTTTCTTCGGGTCATGCTCTGGAACACAGACAGACAGACGGAATGTAACTCTACTGCCCTCTACTGACCGTAGAGTTAAACGAAAAAGTCATTACTTTCAATTCTTAGACCGTTTTTTAAAATCAGTCGTTCAAAGAAAAATCCATTCCATAAGAATAAAAGGAAAGCAGTAATAACTAAGATGTAGACACCAGTCTGGATGGCTAATCTCACGCCTAAATGTTTGCTTGAAATTCTCTTCCGTTTTTGTGGTGATGCTGCAAAGCATTTTCAGAATAAACGGATCAGACGCTGCATCAAAACAGATTTTTTCAAAACTAAAATACAAACATTTTCATCAAATTTATATTTAAAAAAAAATCCCAAGATGGGTGGAACTGTGTGATCTTTGTAACTGGAATTTCATCAAGATCTGACAAACAGCTCTTTTTAAATGTTTAAAATCATTATGAGTAGCAGCTCCACTTGAGAGATGAAAACATCTAGTGTATAAAGCAGTCTTCTGTGTCACATTCATTTGGTCAGCACCAGACTGCTGGCGTTGTGTGGACGTGAATCAGGCGTGTGGAAGCCGGGAAACCTCCAAAAAACCTGCAGGACAGCATCCTGTCCAGCTTGCTAAGCTAGCAGTGAGGGGAACGGTGGGACCGAACAACGTGGCTGCGATGGTAAATTGCTTTGAGAGGCGGAAAAATGAACTCCATGCAAGTCCCAGGATGCATTTTTACCAGACTGCACTTTACGCTGGACAAAGTGGAGAAATTTCAGTGGTCATGATGTGACGGCTGATCGGTGTTTAAGCCTTTAAAGTTTAAAAAAGACGTTTTAATTATCAACCAGTAATCACATCTCTTTTAAAGGTCTACGAAGTTCCTGAAAAAGACTGTTGTAGCCACTATTTCCACAGAAACAGTGTTTCAGTCAGGTCTCAGAGCTCTGGTGACAGTTACCAAAGATCCCCTCTGAGCCTCTGATAGTGGACATACAGTGGGGGAAATAAGTATTTGACCCCTTGCTGATTTTGCAGGTTTGCCCACTTACAAAGAATGCTTATTTTTCCTCATCAGATGGTTATCAATTTTTATAAATTCATATGATGTGATTTTCTGTAATTTTCTTTGGGATTCTGTCTTTCACTGTTAGAATGTACGTATGATTAAAATAGTAGATCGTTGCATTCTTTGTAAGTGGGCAAACCTGCAAAATTAGCAAAGGTTCGAATACTTATTTCCCCCACTGTATGTATGCGCTGCTTCTGCTGGATCCCAGAGCTGCATTTAATACCATCCATCACATCATTCTGTTAGAGGCTAAATCATTTCGTCGTGTTAGAGGGATGGCGTTAGCCTGCTTTGAGCCATATCTATCTAATGGATTCCATTTTTTTTGCGTAAATGAATAGTCCTCGTCCCACTGGGGGAGCTCTATGTGGAGTTAGATCGGGACAAAATCTGAATCCTTTTTACCCCTGAAGCTGTGGCCGACTTCCTGCGGTCCGGAGCTCCCATGGGTGAGGACGGCTCCTGCTTCTTTTCGCTCTCCACGCTGTTGGCATGAGAGCGCTTGGCGTGGGAGACGGGAGGCGGAATGGAGGGAGCCACTGAGACACAAAACACAGGGGGTCTGAGCCCTGATCGGATGTGAACCCCCGCCCCCCCCCCAGTCCCACAGACTCACCGTGGTCACTGAAACGCCGCTGCTTCTGGGTGCCGGCTACGCTCCGAAGGTGAGCGGGGGACTGGCTGGACCCTTCGAGGTCGCTGACCGGCCGGGACCTCTGAACCAGGTTAGAGCTGGATAAAGACATTTCACCCTAGAGGAGAGGAAGCAAAAGATTCTGGGTTTAAAATGTCACTCAGACGGCACTTTTATTCAAATCTTTGCTTGCCTTTTACTTCTCAAACTAGGCAAACTACATCTGAATGACACATGCTGATGATTCTCAGAGACCGGATTCGGAAGCAAAAAAAAAAAAAAGGGAATATTTTATACCTCGGCAGATTTTCTCCCTAATAGCAGATAAGTCGCAGTGGCTTCGTTGTATTTCTGCCCGTCGAGCGCCTTCCTTACTTCTTCCTGAGAAAAGCCCATCGCTGCCATCAGCTCTGATTAGTCCAACAACACACAGAACACTCCGCTTTGAGTCAAAGACATAAATAATAGTCTAAATAAATCAGTGAATACAGCAATATGATTTACAAATAAGCACCAACACTACCACATAATTACAAAATAGGCCAAATGTTAGGTTAATAATTTCATTGAATATGGATTAAAGAAAAATCTACTTCTCGTTATTCATGTTTGGCTTCTCAAATATCAAAATATTGTTGGCTGAGCTCAACTGAAAGATTCAAAACACTGGATTACACACAGTAACAGACAATCCAGGACACATGGTGCCTTGTAAGGCCACAGCCTTTATATAAATGGTGTATGAAGGCTGTGTCTGTAAGTATTTCATGCTGTAATACAATCCTAAATACTAGAATACCTAAACACAAGCTGCCAAACATGGATATGATGCAGTAGTGATGTCGTGCTGAAGCCGTTTGGGCCGTAGTTACTTTGGAACAAAATAAAACTACTGACCAGATCTTAGAAATGACCAAAATTATTTTTGATTAACGGAATTATCCACTTGGATCCTGATACAAACATAGAAATCTGGACAAAATGACATTTCTCTTTAACAGCCGGTGTGAAAAATAAAATGTCTGCTGAGATAAAACCAGCCTCATTAGAGGGGACTTAAAAAGCTCTGTATGAGAGGCTAAAACAGTAACCACAGTTCTACCGAATGGATGTGAGAAATCTGTTCTGTGTCTGACCGATGCGTTTGAGGTCACTGAGGTCCTGTTCCGGTTCAGAGAATGGTTTCAGCTCCTCTCCCTCGTAGCCTGCGTTCATCCATCGGTCCTTCATGATTTGCTGGGAAACAAACAGGAATAGTTTAATCCTTCCAAGAAAGACAACTTAGAGGAGGTCAGAGTAAAAAAAAAAAAAAAAAAAGTAAAAACAGCTGCTTTACAGAACATCCGCAAACTGGACGGTGCTCACATTGATTTATCATTATATTAGGGAGGGCCAGTCATCCCGTAAATGATCGTTTGATGAAGATATCTAAAAGGATTGTAGGTTGTCGGCTTTATTTCCCAAAGCGACAGGGGTGTTACCTTTAAGCTTCCACGTTTTCCCGGGTTCAGAACCAGCAGCTTCTTCAGCAGGTTTTCACAGTCGGTCGACATGTAGAAGGGAATCCGATACTTTCCTCTAAGAACACGTTCCCTCAGTTCCTGCGCACACACAGACACACACACACACACACTTACGTCAGTGTAACGATTTTTTTATTTTTCAAATGACCTCATTTTGGTGTTTTTGAACGCGCCGTTTTTGGAGGCCTGCCCTTTAAATGCACCCGAGGAGAACAAAAATAGCTGCGAATGTGCGTCTTTTTAATGCCACTGACTCAAAAAGAGGGGAACGTTATGGACACATTCCACTAGAAGTGTTTTTAATGTTCATAAGTTTTATGAAATTTTCATTAAAACAGAACACAATAATACGAATCAATGATAGTAAAGAGTATAACATTTTTTCAGGGATATTTTGCTGTTTTATGGAAAATTATTTCTATTTGATGTCACACAAAATTTGGCAGAAAAGTTGCCAAAGGAACAACACACTGAATTTCCAAATCCCTGAAAATTAAACATATGCCCGCATCATGATGCTACATCCCTCATGCCCCACTGCAGTTAGGGGATGGTAAGTTTTAGTCTTTTCTTTTGGTCTTATAAGACTCTTTCATACATCCTCTGGTGAACAAAAATGTTTTTTTTTTCCAACTCTGCTCTCACGATCGTTCTGTCCATGTGACGGGAGAGTGAAAATTATTCACAGTGCAATTATTGAAAGTGGGAGTAGCAAATGGGCGGATGGATGCTTTTATCCAGCACGGCTGTAATCTGTAATCCGCAATTGCATTAATTGAAAAAAAAGAAGAAAAAAAACAGAAAAAAACAAGTACACACACATGGTACAAACACCATCTTTCCTGCACTTTAAAAATAATAATAATAATAATGATAACAATTTAAAAAACATCCAGCTGTGGCATGACTGCACATTCACACATGGGACCAACTTATTTATTTATCTATTTATTTATTTATCTCTGGCGGTGGGCTCAAACCTTGAGATTTTGTCCGTCGAAGGGCAGGGAACCGCTAACCAGCGTGTAGAGGATCACACCCAGACTCCAGACATCTACCTCCGGCCCGTCGTATTTCTTCCCCTGCGGGGGGTTACAAAGCCACTTTACAGGAAAGCCAAACGCTTGGCGATTTTTTCGTGTCGCTCTGCGGCCTTTTTTCGGCCGTAAAGGAGGCGGCGGGGGGGGGGCTCGGCGTTCACCTGGAAGAGCTCCGGGGCAGCGTACGGAGGAGAGCCGCAGAAAGTATCCAACTTACTGCCCAGAGTGAACTCATTACTGAAGCCGAAGTCTGCAATTTTAATGTTCATGTCAGCGTCAAGAAGGAGGTTCTCTGCCTTAGAAAGAAACAGAGGCGTAAAACACGGTGGGCCAAGACGCGTGTGTACTGTGGGCGTAAGAGAAATGACACATGGGAGGAAGTTTCTGAGAATTTCCACTTTAAACGATTAAAAGTTCATTTGTGCGAATGATAACGCCACTTGTTCCGGTCCGGGGAGTCTAATCCAGCTGCTATTGGGTAAAGAGACACTCCCTCCTAAAGTTTTAGGCGGAAACCTACTTATTATGTTATTTAACTACCATATAACAGGACGTTGGGAACACAATCTTTTGAAAAAATCTATAAGAACCAAATGAGAAGTTTGTTCCGACTTATCTTTATATTTGTTTGTTTTCTGTCTATATATGTCCACATTTATCTATTTATATCTATTTTTAGATCCCAGTTTAGTTTCCTTTAACAGATGTCTTTGATTAAACTTCCATATAGGAGGAAAAATAATCATTTAAGATTTATTTTGGTCAAATGTTTTTCATTTTAAAGCGTTCAAGTAATGGAGGACAGAAGACGTGTACTCTGAAACTAATTCAATAATGGTGTTCTGGTTTGGATGATGGGATTCACAATGACTAATCAGTTGATTAAAAGGAAAAAATAAGTGTTTTTCTATTTGTCTGAACCTAGATTATGATGGTACTTTCATGCCGTAACATTTATCTGAGGACGCAGTTCCATTTGTGCTGTAGGGTTGGTAGTTCTATAACGTGTTAATGTATGTATGTTTGCTTTTTACATTCATTTTAAACACAAAACAGCTTGGATATTAGACCATAATAATACAATAGATCAAATTCTGGCAAAAGGAGGGGTCACCTAACCAAATAAAGGAGGGTGCCTCAAACTGTGTAGTGAACTAGGAATTAGAAATTAAGAGTATTATTTATGAGAACTTTTAAAATCCAGTTTGGACCAGAATTAAAAACTGATCCGAGGTAAAGTCAAGGAAGAGACAGGTGAAAATTATTTTCTAAATAGCTTGTGGGTGCAGAATGGAGTGGCCTGGATTCTTGAATAGAAAACCATCAAGAGGAACATGCAGTGATTTCACCCCGCCGACCCTGTAAGGGGTTTTCTTTTCTACCTTGAGGTCACGGTGAACAATCCTCTTCTGGTGACAGTACTCCACCGCTGACACAATCTGACAGAAACACACAGTTGTACAAGAAAAAAAGAGAGTCAAACGTAGCCCTTGGACCTTACAGCCAACTATCTCAAACTCTGACGCACTGCGTTGAGATCCAGCAATAAGAGATTCAACAAAAAGCTCCAGCAACCCTCAATTAAATGACAAAACATGGAGCTAAATGGGGGAAACTTGATAGCAGGACCTTGTGTTTACCTCTGTCGAGTGGTTTCATCATATGTGTCTGTGGTTCTGTTAACTACTCTATTAGTGGTTGTGCTAATCCAGGCTTCTTCATCCTGTGGAGATTTGTGGTCTGGTCTCTACATTAAGAATGGATAGTGGTTTTTCCAGTTAGTGCATCAAGGGCCAGATGAATAAGACCGGAATGTGCATGTCAGCAACTCAGAATACGAGAACTCAGAATCCTTCATACTGGTGTTAAAAAGAAGAGCGAAAGCCTAGAAACGGTTTATTGCTCAGCGCAGCGGTAGGGTGTTACTGAGGAAGAGAGGATTAAACAAACTGTTAAATACATCGCAGGAAGCAGCAACTGAAACTATGCTCTCCCTCCCAGCAAATAGCACTGTCTGCTCTGAGCTAAAAACCAAAACAAAAGGGCCTACACACCACTGTGATGCAAATAGGGATGAAACCACACAAACTGGCCAAGTGCCCCATAAATGATCCAGTTTGATCTGGAACATCTTTAATAAGAGTGAAGTGTCATTGTACATGACTACATTTTAATCCAATAAAACTGCTTTCATTCACGTATTTGAATCTTTCTGTCTGCTTGCATTATGTGTGACAAAGAGCCTAATTTCCAGTCCGACACCTGGTTGTAGTTTAGTATACACGCATCCTTAAGAATTCACTGGCAGCTGAGAATTTAACTGGAATTGTCAAAAAACATCAGAATCAGTCTAAGTCTGTCTTTTTTCCCCCGCTTTTCTTTTGTAAGGTCGAACATAACAGATACTGTAGCAGGTGAAAGGCCTTTTCTAATGCCTCAAAAAGCTCCTCACTTGAAAATGTTCTTTCTGAATCCCCCTACATAGTTTTTTCCCTGTTGCCATTAGACTGCTAAATTACTGAATCCTGTTCTTGTCTTAACCTGTATGCGATGAAATTTCGTTTTGTGTGCACTCCGTACACACAAAATGACAGTAAAGTTGTCTATATCTATGATATATGGCTGTAATAATATTGTTGAAATGAGTAGACCCAGACAGATTAACATGTCCAAAAAGTCACCTCAAGCTGTCAGTGTGCTTTTAAATCATTCTAATTTATGTGATAAAGATTTAGTTGTTTCATTGGTTGAAATGTCAAGAAGTCTTGTGGCCGAAACGTAAAGTCTGACCGCATCTGAATGTTTAACACATTTCCAGATTTGAGAAGTTCTTGGAGAACTTTTCTAAAAGCTCCCTGGACAAGCATGGAGTGGGACCCTCACCTGGCGGAACTTGGCTCGAGCCTCCTTCTCCTTCATTCGTCCATGAGCCACCAGGTAGTCAAAGACTTCCCCTGAAACACAAGCAGACAGGCCCGGGTCCAGTTTCCATCCAGCTGTGACACACAGTGGTCATCACAATGCTGCCCCGGGACACGGTTTTCTCTCACCTCCGCTGGCGTACTCCATCACCAGATACAGAGTCTTCTCCGTTTCGATCACCTCGAACAGCTTCACTGAGAAAAAAAAACAAAAAAATAGAATAGAATAGAATAGAATGCTGGTTTTCCGGCACCGGGCGGGCGTCCAGTAGCGGGGGGACCAGGTCCAGTTCAGTTTGGATCAAGAAAGAACAGGAGGAGGACGGAGGAACTCACCGATATTCGGATGATTGAGGATCTTCATCACGCTAACTTCTCGGAAGAGCTGGAGAGAAAATAGTTTGAGTCAGCAAACTGAATCGTAAACGCATTTGAAATAAAGCTGATATCGGGACATTTTAGATGTAGAGGTAGGTCAGACGTAGCAAAGCTACATACCTTCTGCAGGCTAGTGGGGTTGAGCTGAGTTTTATCAATGATCTTGATGGCAACCTGCAAGTGGAAGCAGAATCAGTCGAGTCAGCATTCAGCTTGAGCTGGGCTGCATTTAAATTCATCCATAAAACATATTTTTTTTGTCTAACGAGTCTTATTTTAGATTACATTTTATGCAGAAAATTATATTGATTACAAATGAATCACAACAGATTTTTTTGTTTTGTTTTAAGAAATCTTTGAAAAACCTGTGTAAAACTAAATTATATTGTATCTTAATATATAAAAAGCTAAATGGTCCTTTTTCCTCTCGGAATCATCTTAAACTTCATCTCTCTGCTATTGGATTTCAAAGCAAATTCCAGTTTTCTCTCCAGATTTCAGCCAACTCACTGGGGCTTCTCTGATAAGGCAGAAATGCATCGAGCAGAACATTAAACCACTAACACTAAAACTCTTGCCTGGTCAGGAATGCGAGCGAATGAATAAAAATTGGCATCTTGATGAATAAATACCACTGTGGTCAGCGTTTGGAGCAGTGACTGCTCTCTGTTCTTCTCCCATTAATTTATTCTATACACATGTATTGCAAAAGTTTCAGTTCTGAGCTTGATGACCATCTGAATCCCCCTACAGAGGTTAAATAGTTTTTTTTCTCCAAAACCTTCCACTGGATGGTGGTTTAGAACATTTCTTAATCACTGTTCATGGTAAGTAATAAACTTCTGTGAATGTGAACAAGTGGGCCTCCAAGGTTTTATGAAAGCAAACCTCTGGTATTATAAAACTGGTGATAAAATCAAAACTGTTTTAACGTGGATTCTAACTCGCAGAGCTTCTCGGGGTTTTTAGTCCCACAAAACGTGCCAGGTTTGGCAGTACTGTGGTAAATCCAGACCTTTAGGCCAACAACAGGCCACATAAGAACAAATAGAGGGTTTAAAGCTCCACTGAGTCAACAGGAGGCATCGGCAGGATTAAAACACAAGGCTCTGCTCAGGCCTGAGCCAAGGAACCACTTTAAAGACGATCAATGAGGCTGAAATCAACATCAGCATGCAGAGAAGTGCATTTCAAACACAAAGATATTTGCTGATTTGTTTTTCCAAGCCTCCTATGACCACTTTTAGGCCTTGTTTATTTTCCGTCTCACTTTTTGTATTTCTCTTGAATTTTTTTCTCTCGTCATTCCTCTTTATTTGTTTACTTCCTTTCTCTTCTTCCTCCCTCTACCTGTCTCTGTATTCTTGGCGTCGCTCTTATTCATATATCTGATATCTGATTTCTCCAGAAAGATGGAGCGGCCCATAAAATGGACGGAGAGTTAAAGATCCTGTACATCATTTAACATAAACCCTGACATAGTTCATGCTTTCTTTGTGTCTACCTAAAAAACTTAGAAACATCTACATGTGCACTGGCCCTCAGTTTGCAGGAGTTCTTTTTGCAGATTTCAGCTTCCCAAAGCTTTTCAGTTGGATGGAGGCCGTAATCAGTTGGACTTTTTCTCAATTCAATATTACCCTAAAAACTACTCTCATGGAGCTTATTCTAAGCTAAACGTTCAACGATCAAACTGCTTTCCTACCGAGAATGCTTTTACTTTCTTAACATTGATAATAATAATAATACACTTTATTTGAAGGCGCCTTTCTTGAAACTCAAGGACACCGTACAGAGATGCACAAAAAACAAAAATTAAATATTTATATACATAATTGAGAGAAAGGGAGAGATTTTCCAATATTTCTAGTTGCCTTGATGATATGTTTTAAATCATTTGATGCCATTATCTCTTTCTAAAAATGGTTTTAACATTTGTACTTGAATATATAATATATGGCAGCCTCCTTTACTTAGCTGTTTATGTGTAGACATCTTAGTTCAAACAAAAGAAGGTCTTTAAAATGATGTGTTGCGCGTGTAGAAACTGCCGGGTTGCGTTTGCCCTGCTGACTGAGTCCGGCGGGGTTCTCACCTCTCTGCCCGTCAGGAGGTGTTTGGCCAGTTTGACTTTGGCGAAGTTGCCCTTGCCGATGGTCTTCAGGAGTCGGTAGTTGCCGACATGGGGCTGCTCGTCCGGGGCCGCCGCGGCCGAGCTGCGCCCAGGGGCCAGGCCGTGGCGGCTGGAGGACTTGGCGGGCGGGGCCGGCGGCTCCGGGGGGCCGTCGGAGGACTTTGGCTTCAAGAGAAATCAGAAACAGATCCACGGTGGTCATTTAGCTCACGCGTAAATTCAATTCAATTCTATTTATATACCGCCACATCACAACGAAAGTGATCTCACTGCGCTTTCCAAACAGAGCAGGTCAGACCCTACTCTGAAGTTAAAAACAGAAACCCAACAATTCCCACCATGAGCAAGCACTAGGCGACACAGGCAAGGAAAAACTTCATTTTAACAGGCAGAAACCTCGAGCAGAACCATGGCTCAGGGTGGGCGGCCATCTGCCTCGGCCGGTTGGGGGTAAATGAGTCCCCTGCTTTATTTTCAACTATGGGGGGGTCTTTTTCCGGGCCAAGGACCCCCAAACTGATGGTGAGATGGAGCGGGGACCCCCTAATTATACATATTGTGTGAAATTGTGCAGGTCCTATAGTGCCATGTGTATATGTACCTTGTTATTGGGCATTCAGTACTAAGATACACAAATAATACACAGGTTAATATATTCCTGTTTTTATTTTAAACCTCTGATTCCTGGTTGGTGGGACTGGTGTTGTGAATGAAACAGTGCCCAGCTTGAAAGAGCTAGCTAGCTAGCTAGCTAGCTAGCTAGATAGATAGATAGATAGATAGATAGATAGATAGATAGATAGATAG